TGGGGTTCTTTTCATAGATGCCCCAATAGTAGTGTGATCTCATTAGTTAATCACTGACAAATTTAAGAAAAAAACAATGATTCAAGGATATTCACCTGTAGACTTTATTTTTCATCAGCAAATCCAGGCTTGGTCGTAATACTAACAGAAAATCGTTAGACGATTTCGACGAAGCATAAGATAAGAAATTGACACGATGATTGTTTAGATACTCTTCAGGAACGGACATCCAAAAACACGCAGTGATCGACTCCAATTCCTGTGGAGATCCAGTGGACTTGCCATATTGGTTTACGGTATCACCAAAAAAATGTAATGCCAAAGGACCTAGATAAGCAAACGGAGAATACCTAAGCAAGAAGATAACAGTTGAATTTCGTCAGCGAGCATCTTCAACATCATTTGCTCCCAGAATAATAAGGAGTGCGACCGAAAACAGCAACGGAATCAGAGTCGTATACTCCTCAACGGAGGAGTATAAGCGATATAAATGGTTTTAAATCAACAGCTTTTACAGTATCAGGTACATGACTCACTTTGAGGCAGATATCATCATAATTTGGGTTTTACAATACACCTTTCCGCTGTAATATCATATACCCACTAATCGAGTTGCTTAAAAAACAAGAAAATAAACATGGAACGTACCTGATCCTGACATCCTGACTGCGGTGGAACGCCGTTGCTCCTCCCATTGGCAATCAAAAGACAGAGACTGGAAATGCTGTGGCAAAAGCATGCAATGACGCTATCGCGACATCCGTGATGCGCTTAGTATAGGTAATAGCATGGTTTCGAGTGCAATTTGGATACAACATGCACCTTCGAGTTTTTAAAAGACCTCAAAATAGCACGAGTCCGAAGGACGAGTGCTATTTGAGGTTGTTGAGAAACTCATGAGTGCATGTTTGTCCAAATTTCACGAGAAGCCATGCTATTACTTATTAATAATTTACATAAAAATGTTCGAGACAATTGTACTTTTAATTAACATACGCGTTTATAGCGAACACTCCACTGGCAAAGTTTTCCTGTCTTTGCTATATATATCACATTATACAACGCTAACAGCTTGAAAATTCCACTCATCTATGCAATTTTTGTTAGTCTTTTTTAAAATAGATACTTTTCCATTTAAAAGTAAAGATAAAAGCCATATTTTCCACGCGAGGGCAACTTTTACTTTGCGTAACGCGGCGCCATGTTTGTTTTGTTTTGAAGCAATCTGTGACCGTTAATTACTTCTTTTAATCATCACAATGTTTTTCCACCAATCAGATCAGTTTATTACAGATTTTTGCACTGTGATTACAGAAAATTGCGCCATGATTACAAAAAATTGCACTGCTGTTTGGGATTAACTGCACTGAAATCAACCGATCATAGTCGAGTAATATCTTAAATATATTATTAAATCAATTAACAATTATCCGTTGTCCCGGCAACCCGCCTTAATCTGAATAAAAAAAACATAAATGTTGTTTTATATTTTTGCATGTTTTTGTTTTTTTTGCATTCAAATTTTGACTTTTTTATATCACTGCAAAAAGAAAATATACACCAAGGTATGTATGATTTAAACTATTTCATTTGTTATTTTGACGGTGAATATCTGTACGAGAGTACTATCTTTCGAACCCTGTAACTATACAGTAGTTTAATTAAATTCCAGGATTTGTATTTACATATCTTGAACAAAAATTACGGCGGGGCCGTAGTAATTGGCTAAGTGCTGTTACGGACTCCCTGCCATTAATTGTAATATAGTTATCTACAAGGCAAAGCTAATAAATTAAATTAAATTAAATTAAAAATAGATCTGTGGATGTACTTATCCGGTATTCAAACTTGTATTGAGTCAAACAAAGCCCAAAACGTCCTTTGAATGCTTGAGTAATGTTTTTCACTGTTAAAAACTCGCCATTTTTGTTGTCAAAGTTTACACTCACTCCGAATCCTGTAACTATGATTAAAATAAAGTTCAGGGCTTGTAATTTTTATATTTTGAACAAAATTAAAATAGATCTGTGGATGCACTTATCTGGTTTTTAAACTTATATTGGGTCAAAGGAAGGCAAAATCGTCGGCATTATCGAAAGTTCAGAGTAAACTATCGAAAAAGTAACTTCAATAAATTTATAACGTAAATGCAGTCTAGCAAGACTGAATAAATATACGTAAGCCTAATTAAGAAAAAACAAAAATACGCAAACAAACCTGACTCGAACATCTCAATAAGCTCGAAAATTCTTTGGGCTCGTTTTTGGATAAGAAGATTCGTTTTATAAACTTTACAAACAATGTGATACTTAACTCCCTTTTCAGTGTAGATTACTTAAACAATCGTCCAGTATAAAAAGCTGTAAAACAGCAGAAAAGTATCGGTCCACAATACCTCAGTATTAATCGTTTATTCGTATCACGTTGCACATGCGCAAGCGTCACGCAAGCGCATCACGGAAGGCACGCGCAAAACATTAGGCATTTCCAGTGCTGTCTTTTGGATTGTCTACGCTCCACCCAATTGGAATTTCTCTTGTCTAAAATTACCGACTGTTTTTATGCATTAATACCTACACTGTTCACTAATATGCCCGGCATAATTACTTTCTGGACATTTACATCCAAGTGGTCTCACCGGATCCCAGATCAACATTTCGCTGTTCAGACATTCATCACATCCGAACTAAAATAAGTAATATTTACAGCGTGAGCCGCGAAGTTATATCAGACATACAAATTGTGGGCGAAGGTAGGAAGTCTGTTAGAACATGGAGGCAAATGCTGTTATTTCGCTTATTAAATTCAAGAATTTCATCAGGTTTGTTTGCACATTTTTTCAGTTTTGTTTTTTAATACATTCAAAAATGTGACTTGAACTAAGTCGAGGTAAAAAAAGGTTATGTAAATCAAAAAAGATTTTTTTTTGTATTTTACCTCATTAATTAACATTGATATCATGCGTTCAATTTTTTTTTTTATTAACGAGTTTCATAACTTTAGCTAATTATGTAAATGAAAACCACTTAAAATACGCCCCTAGCAAAATGTTGTTAATACAAAACCATTACAGGCTGAAAGGTATAATATGCTGACTTTTTGAAACGTAAGTTTCTTATAAATTTAGTTATATAGAGTAGAAGTCTTTTTCTATGGGTTAAAAATTCTAAGCCGATATATGCAAACTTCATTTGAGGGCATATACAAAGACATTCTTGTTAATAAGTATTCTGTTAATTTTTAGTACTAATCAAATTCATTTTATCAAATTCCACAGTAACTTTAAAATAGCAATTATCAGCGTAAACATAGGCGTCGAAAGATGGATAAGTGTGGGGGGGGGGGGGTGACCATATTGACATATTCGTGTTCACAACCTTAAAAACAATCGATTTCAAAAGAAATTAATAATGAATTTATGAATATGATCCCCCCCACTTATCGATCTTTCGACGCCTATGAGCGTAAAAACTTCAGTATATGGATTCCATTACAATTTAATACAATGAACAAGTTGCGATGGCTCTTGAGTAGGACTAAAGTTAATTTTCACTGAAAAATAAATTCAGTGGCCTACGTAGTTAGCGAAATTAGGCTAGTCCTTCTTTAAGACCTACACTTTCTAGAGGGGGGTCCGGGGGCATGCTCCCCCGAAAAATTTTGAACTTTAGGAATCTGGGATGGCCAATTCCTGCGATTTCACGGCAATATACTACAAAGGGAACATCAAAAAATTGTGTGATTAGCGGATAATTTGTTATACATTTTTTAGAAAAAATTTTGGTAACTTTTTGAAATCCATGCATTTTTTTATCATATTTCACTGAAAAAATTATCTAAATATAGTCAAGTCACGAAAGAAGAAAATAACATGTATACAAATGCGTCTGTAATATGATCTTTCACTTGATCACTGTTGAACACGGCGTTTCATGCACTACTACGTTTGTTAATAATGCGTTAAACTTTATATAATGGAGGAGTATGAACTACAGATCACTACGCCTGGCACTTTGAACGTAATTTGGTACGCTACGCGGTCTATGATATTAATATAGCGTTTAATATAGTGTATGCGGCCAAATATCACATAAACAGTGTAAATCTAAGTTGGTTCAGTACATCATTTTTTTAAACTCTATATAAGTGCTCGTGTTTCAATGCATAAAGCAGATAAATTGGAAGTAAATATTACGTTCTTACTTTATATCAATACGACAGGCATCACAAATGAAGTTTGCATTCCCCATTATATTGTATAATAAAAATACACAATCGTCAATCGAGTCAGTTCACAGAGGGCCCCCTATACCTCTTCACAATATGCTTTCACGTAAAAATATTTTGCCTTTTCACGAGTCACGGATTAAGAAAATCATCGATCACGTTTCACGGCTAAGTAAAATAAGCCCTTCACGCTTCACGCAAGAAGTATAGGGGGCCCGATCACGTTTCACGGCTAAGTAAAATAAGCCCGTCACGCTTCACGCTTCACGCAAAAAGTATAGGGGGCCCTCTTCACGTGCATTTCGTGAGCTAAAATATCTTAGCAAAAGCCAGAAATTATATTAACATCACAGTGGGCTTCCACACTGGTTGAATTCCATACTTATAACTTGAGTAATCTCGACAGAATTAATAAAAGTGGGTTAATTAGTCATGCGGAAAGCTCCATTGCGAGAGAGCAGGACTTCGCATTTGTAAACAGACGATTGGAGCATGCGCAGAGCTAATTATCCAATCAGAAACCAATATTTTTTGTATTGATTTACTATGAAATATACTAGCAGGTTAAGCCATTTGAAAATGGCAGGACTGATTAGTCGCGTGTAAATCAATGTAGAGTTGCAGTTGCTAGGTAACAAACACCGCAAGCTGTAAAATTGTGTAAATATTATAGATTGCGAAAAACGTTTTAAAAAGTTATAACGAAAAGGACGAGAAAAAGAGACGAAATAACAATGTGATAATGATGTATTTTTAAAGCTTCAAGACAAATAAAGCAATGTTTTAGTAAGGAAATTTTGGGAAATTTTTAGTCCTGCTGGCCAGAACAAGCAGGATCCCTAACTACGCCACTGAATATATTTCACCGCCTATCTGTTATATCCGAACAGTTCAGTAATTGGCCAAAACGTCAGGAGCGGATCCAAAAAAAATTGTACATCAGTCCTATCAGATATCAGGGTAATAAGAATGGGTGTAAAATGAAATATTCTCACCGTTCTTTCTCCAACAGCCTCATAAAATGTCCAGCCATTGTCATCTGTGCTTCCTTTTTCAAAATAATGATCTGCGGTTTCAGTTAACTGACAGTTGATTTCGTTTTCTTTTGACCCTTCCTTGAAATTGAAGGCAACACAGGTCCGTTTTTCCAAGCAACTGGTTCCACAATCTAACCAACCCAGGACGTTTGATTCAAATATGATATCTTTCTTCAATCGCAAAATATCTGAAAAAAATAGTAGTCACAAATTTTTCAAGAGAGTGTTACGTTCGCGAGCGAGGACGAACACAAATGTATGTCTTTATCTTCACTATCTTTACGCTCGTTGCCCTCCTTCACCAGACTCAGCGAGACTCGCTGGCCAAGGAGGTTTTCTCCTATTTGGAATATCCTTCTTCTAGTCTCTAACTTTGAGACGACAATAAATTCAACAATATCAAATTCTTATTCTTGAACAACAACAACAACAAATACAAATTACTGTTTCTAAACTTTTTTCTGATCCTTTCTTAGCTTAAGCTTTCGCTGCTTATATACCTAATTTACATATTGCTGACATATGCAAATTAGGCAAAGGCATGCAAAAAGCTGTTTTTTAAGAAAATATATGCGAGTTTGCTTGAATATTTAAAGGGCTTATAAAGGGATACGGCAATATATTTTTTTACTATTTCATTTTAAATTAAAGAACTTTTAAAATTATATATAAATCTCTTTTACCGATTTTGCGTAACTTTATCATTTCTTGAGATATTTGTACAAAAAAATCACAAATCAGCGATCTTTCCGCCATCTTGGATTTTGGCGGATATGCATGTGACATCAAAAGCAGGGCCACGCAAGAATTTTATCCATAGAGCAATTGGTTATTATGAGCCCAAAATCGTATACTTCAGTAACTATCTATTTTAAATAAAAAACTGTCTGACGACTTTTCAAACAAGACTTAATGTTATTTGGTCATTTAGATGTAGTTTTATATGGCTAACTCTGCTTATGACGTCATTAAAATCACCGATAATGAGATCAAAATTAATCTAAGAAGGCGGACAGCAAATTATTTTAAGTCCAAATATTCCAAGAAATAATAAAGTTACGCAAATCGGTACAGGAAATTAACATATAATTTTAAAAGTTCTTTAAAATGAAATAATAAAGAAATATATTGCGGTATCCCTTTAAACTAAAGCAAGTTATCTGAAATTTTGTACAGTAACTAAAAACCCAACAAATTTGCCATCTATTCATTTAAAATATAATTAAACCTTCTAAATTTCGTGCGCAAGCTATTTTTAATTTGTTGGAAAGACACCCCCCCCCCCTGATTCACAAACTTTGAGTTCGAGAATTATTTTCATTTTTCTACATTATAAGTACCAAAAGAAGCTATATACATGAAAAACTGGATACTAGTAGCTGTTTTGCGAAATTAAAAGCAATTTCAAATCTGTTCATTTTTTTATACACCCTGTATTGTGATCGATATTGTGTACAAGCTTTCCTGAAGTCAAAAACAACTACTCTGACTGTTGAGCCAGCTCCATCTTTATACATGCTCCATGCATGCATCATGCTGATCAGAGATTGGGTTTGTCGATGGTTTTGGAATTGAGCCAAATTGATTACTCTTAAATTTTATGGCAATTAGGTAGTACCCTACACTAGGTATGCTTATACTGCACGACTATTTGCCTTCAGAGTGAAATCTGTATCCACATCTATTATTTAACAATTATTGAATTGAGAATAATGTTTAACAGTTATACTGCAAACTCAAGTCGTATATGAACTGATAAATTTTATCACGGACCAAAACACCGTGTATGCTTGCACTGCGGAAATTTATACTTATTTGTATAGAACAAACAAACAAGAATATGAGCACCGTGGCCTGTTTATGATCACGTGATACTGAATAGAACATTCCATTTCCCATGAGTGCAATGGAACACGTTCCTTTGCACACTCTGCGAGTGCAATGGAATAAAACGTATAGTACAATTGCACTCTTTGTGTTTTTGATAAATCGCATCCGTCAAAATGCTTCTTGTACGGTGATCGCAGTTTATTGGGATTTAATGTAAATACGACTCGTCAAAATAGCGAAAGCTTACAGTAAACCTTTTAATATTAGTCTATTCTGGTATTATATAAAACAAATAATGAATGTTTTTATTCGTGCAATGGTAAGAATATTTTC